TGATTGGTTAATTATCACGGGCAATCACGGGTAGATCGACAAAATTAACCAATCATATGAATGTCTTCCTATGAGGTTCAACCCCAAACCCGACCCGAATGACCCTTTCGGAGCACTACTCATTACTAAAGATGGTTGACTGTACTCTGCACGTAAGTAGAGTATATCAGATATTATTGCAGTAATTTCGAATGCATGGTTAACAAAGCTTATAAAATTTAGGTTTAAAAGTGTGCCCTTTAATAACTAAGGAACGCTACTATTGTTCTTTTTTAAAGTATGGTTTAATGTATACTATTCTAAAAAAAACTTCTTTCATTTGAAGAATTGTTTTATCAACTATAACGTATATATGTTATTAGTTAATAGTATTTGTATGAGGTTTATTACCAAACTTTAAACGCGTTATTATTTAAAGTTTTGTTGTTTGGCCATAAAAATTTTGAAAATTATAATTTATTACATTATATGATAAATGTGAATTTTTCTAGCAAAATATCTATGATAAAATTCAGATGATTTATTTTCATTTAATATAATTAGTCAATAGATCGTCATATTCTTTAACAGATATTCCTAAATGTCTTCGTACTTATACAATTCCTTCAATTGTTTTCCGAATATTAGCCACTGCCTGAGAAAATAAAACAATATTAGCTATTATTGATTATTATATTTACCCAATTACCCAATATCAAGTACTGTAGCTCCCGTATTTAACTTTTTTCGACTGATGAAAAAAAGTATTTCGAAACAAATGTCTCCTTATTACATAAGACATTATCTCTCTGTCAACTTCTGTTTTATCTGATGGTAATATATGGGTCTTTGCCTTGAAAATCACCTTCAGTCATTTCCGATCGGGATAATTCGGACAAAAACAAAGCCGTGTATTAGTTCATGTTTATATGCAAACCCTTTTGTCTTTATGGCTCAACAGCTGATGGAATAAAGTTTCGAATCAAGGAGATTCAAATATAAACGTGAACTAATATACGGATTTGGTTTGTCCGAATTAACCCGATCAGAAATGTCGGAGAGTGATTTTCAAGGCAAAGACCCCATATAGTTTGCTTATCATCATTAAGGAATTTCTCTCCATTTAATTAATATTTTATGTGTACTTAATTGTAGAAAAGTTTCAAAGTCATTATCATAATCAGTATATTTCAATAGAACTTTTTCATCGGAATAGTAAATATTTAAAATAGCGTCATCTTTTTGCACTGATAAAACTATATTAGCTCCTAAAAGAAATAGTACATATATCATTGGTGTGTAATGTTATGTATGTACAGAAGTTCCATTTATGCATACGTTATCTTAATATAAATATATACTTTTTAAATTTGTAAAGTTTTATACTTTTGTACAACACACATTGACAGTGATCCGATTTTAGACATTCTGATAGTATAATGACTTTTTGTTTGTAGTACATCCTACTAAAAAAAACCCCCAGGATTAAAGCGAATTCCTAATTTTTGGGCAATATACACCAATCTCTGGAACAAGTTTATATTTTTAGTCAATCAGTAAATAATTCTTAAAATTTCTGCCAATGAGTTTCACCCTCAAAAATGTCTTAAATTTTAAATAATACAAATAATGCTTAAAAGGTCTTAATGACTTCAAATACTGATCTTATCGTTGTCAAAGATTATTTAATACACTACGTATAATTAAAAGTAGAATTTAATTAGCTCTAATTGGGTACGATAGTATGGGATTTGGTGGCTTTTTATTTATTTATTTATTTATGTCATGTGTTTCAAAGCAGTTATTTTTGTACAGTAAATCCGGCGATTGTCAAATAATGATTTTACAGCATAATGTGTATATTGATTCCGTGACTCGGATTGGTTAAATATCCTTGCGTTACATTACGTTAAACGTCTCTGCGTCTTTGCAAAAGATTTTCACTCGATAGCGTAAATAAAAAAAAAAAGTATTACAGTAGCAATTTTTTTTTCGATTTTTTAATTGCTTCGGATTTGTTTTTATTAATAAAACTGTTTCGACAAAATTTTCTAATCGAATCAACTTTTTAAATTAGTTACATTGGTGGTCACATGTTTTAATTTATTGGTCAATTTTGCGATCAAATTAGGGTCTGCCGGAGACTAGTGCCTTATGCAAATACATGTGCCTATAGGCACAAAAGTGCAAGCACTATTAAAGGATGAAATAGCAAAGGCATGGGCACAAAATTCTAGGCACAAGGTGCCAGGCACAATTAAATAATCAATACCAAATTTCTGTGCCTGTGTCGTGCCGGGAGCCCTAATTTCTCCCCACAGTTGTGATTGGATGCATGAAACCCGTCTTTAATTGGACAAACTTGTTCATGCCACTGTCACAAAATCAAAAAAAAACATCGTTTTTCTTCAAAAAATAACATATATTCAAAATATTTTTTTAAGCGAAAGTATTTTATTTATGCATCACAAAATCAAAAAAACATCGTTTTTCTTCAAAAAAAACATATTCAAAATATTTTTTTAAGCGAAAGTATTTTATTTATGCACTTCCAGAATTCTTTCTGCTAGTAAAAAAATCGAATTTAAAACATAAGTAATTTTCATAAAGTTTTTGTTCGGTACTTTATTCTAAAATTTGCTGAGACCTACGTTTAC